TGCAGTCGGAGCATTAGCGTGACACTTTCTTGGCCTCCGTGAGACAGATTTCCACAGCTGCTTGGGATTCGGTGTTGACGCGACAGCAGGGAAGATGCTGCCTCTTCATTCATTTAAACAGAACAAAGCTGCGATTCCTACTTACCTTGGGCATCTCCTCCTGACGTCAGCACGGCGATGGACCGGCCGAGCCCCATCTTGGTGGGGTCCACGGTGGGATGGAGATCATGGGACATGTTTCCAGAGGAACCGGGCAGACAGGAGGCCTCGATTAAAGGGGAGGGGGGGAAAGCAGAAAAGATAGAGTGCTCTTCCTTCACTCTCTGCTTGTCAGGGGAGTCACGAGAGAAGGCGCAGGCTTTATAGACTACAGTTCCTGATCCTGCCCCCTCCCACTGATACCCTCCACCACTCACTCACTCACAGAGCCCGACTAAATATAATCAGGCCCGGTGACCACCTGCAGTGGACACACAGGGAAACACATAACGCAACAAGCACATGCATCTCAGTTCTACTAATAATACAGTGCTGTGTGAAAGTAATACATAAAAAAGCAAAACAACAGCAAACTGCATTGATAACTGGCTGCAGCTGGACTGGACACACTCAAGCTTGATTACCAGCAGCCCCGATCAATTAAATCATCATTTAGATGACCCAGAAGCAGAAAGATCTCACTTGTAGGATTCTAAAGTTGTTGTTTTTTTAAAGCTCTGGGATTCTACAGGGTGACATAAAAAAATGGAGAAAAAATAATGAACCTTGTTTGAAGTGTGGAAACATTTCATCCAGGGAGTCAGAAAACATCCAAGGAACTGCAGGCCTCTCTCTCTCTCTGCAGTAAAGGTCAGTGATCATGACTCCGCTCTGTCAAAGACAAGCTGAAAACACCGCAAACCCAGAAGAACTTTAAGACTGGATTTCACCACAAACGCACCTTGATGATGCTTACAGGAAGCATGAATTCTGCTCTCGGACAGAACATCCTAAAGGTAAACATCACTCCGCCCACGCAACACAACAGTAATCCCAACTGTAAGAATAAATCCACTTCTGTTTGACTCAAAAGGAATAAAATGAAAGAGACAAGCTCACTGGGCAGAGGGAAACACTGTTCAACCAGGTGAAATAATATTACCTGTGGACAGGAGAGATTTGGCATTTGACAGAACAAAACATAATGAGGTAAACTACAAGAGGAAAGGAGCTTGCAGGTGTTATTAAATCAAATAAATATAACAAAAGGAGAACTTTTAAGTATGGCTTTCTGGAAAAAAGACAAAAATAACACTAAAACCTCAGCACCAAACCTTGAAGCCTGCAGTCCTCGGGTGGTTAGATAGGAACCTCCACACTAAAACAACAAGCTCATCACAGAAATGACATCAAAACCACAACAAGAAGCATGTTGGCTTGTCGCTCATATTAAATGAGAGCTGCCCTTTAAGTCGAGCTGTTTTTATAACCTTTAAGTGCCCAGTTTTATCCTTTGGATCAGAGGGCTGGCCTCGGTGCACAATCAGGACCCTCCATATGCTGGGTGGGAAGAGCCACACCTCAGGACCTGAAGCCGATCTTGTGCAGGAGACCACGCATCCTCATCTGCATGGATACCATTAACTATGAAAGAGAGAGAGACCAGGGCACAGCTGGAACTACAGCTGAGTAACAGAGATCTGGTATGAGTCTAGACCTGGTTAAGATGCTGATGCAGAACCTGAGAAGATCAGCTCATGCTCAGAAACGCTCCAGTGTAGCTGCAAAGAGGAGTGAACCAGAGCAGCAGCACACACGTTAAAGGTTTTGTAGATAACATTCCGTCTGTATTTAATTTCAACTTCAATTTTCAGTGTATGTGTCTTTCTATTTGTCTATGATTTATTTTAAAGTTGCTTACCTTGTGTGTGTCCGGTGCTCATGCTTCCTCCCATTGTGTGTCTTCCCGCCCTCTTCGATCTGTGTCACCTGTTTCTCGTCTTCCAATCAGCCCATGTATGTGTGTGTTCTTGTTTTACTCTGATAGTTGGTCTGCTGGTTTACCTGCCTAACTTCTTACCTGTGTTCCTCATCCTTTTCTTTCCCCCCCTGTTTTACTGTGTCTTTCTCAAGTTTGTTCCCCAGGCCTATTTGGGCTTTTGCTTGTCCTACGACATGCTTCATGTGTCTGCAGTTAAGTCTTCTCCTGACTTCCCGTCTCATAAGTGATTTAGTGATTACTGGATAACTGTTTTGCTTTGACAGACAAATCATTGACGTTTCCTCAGGTGTCCTTTGTTTCATGTTTATGATCCAACACAGTTATGTATGGAAAACAGTAGTTTATTTTCATGGCATGGTATATAAAAAGCAATCAAATAATTGCGAAGATTTTGAAGTAAATATGTTACTACTTTGGGAATTGTCACATTTCAAAGATGAGTTTGACAACAAAATCTGACTTCACCATCTCTTAATCATACATCGAAGCTTGAATGCCTTTCTTGCCTTCATTTAAGCAGAAATTCAACCCCTTTTGTTTTCCTGAACAGTTGCACATTGTAGTTGCACAAGCACAGCATCGACTCTTTGCTTTTGTTTGACATCTACGAGTCCAAATGAAAACTGTCCGTCAGAGAGGAGCTGATTCAGTAGCAGAGTGCGTTTCACATGTCCTAAACTGTGTGTCGCTACAGGACTGTCTGAACAGGAGACCGCATCACATGACTGAACATGACGCTGACATGCGCACGCTGTTAGGTGTTTCCAGAAAAAGGCTTGAACTCTACATTTGGCCCAAATGAAATTTAGGAAATGCACGATAATATGGCAAGAATCTCTGATTAGTGCTGCAAGTGATGAACAGTGACGACAGTTAAAGGGGTACCTCAGGGTTTTACCTCCACAGCACAGAACACAGCAGTGATTTAACTATTCCATAACAGCCATCATTACTTAAACCTGTGTTTACTGTGACAAGTCAAAATGTCTGCCATTAAACACGCAATGAGACACGAAAAATTTTTTCTTGTATTTTACAAATGTTTTCATTCTTGTGAATTTACATGTCAAATGTAAAATAGCATTAAAAACCTGTAACCATAAAAAATAACCCATAAAAATTCATTTTTTAAAAGGAACTGTCAACTATTTTTAATTTATTGTAATTTTAAATATATTTCCTTTTTATTTAATATATGAAATTGTAAAATTCAAGCTTATTAATGGTAAATGGTCTGCACTTATATAGCGCTTTATTACTGCTAATATATTTCTAGAATTAGACCCAACTGCTCACAATTAAAAGATAACGAAGAACTGGTTCAGTAATTTTACATAGATTTGTTTAACTGAGAGAAAGCTTACATCAGGGCTCTCAAACTCGTAGCCTGGGGGTCAATTGCAGCCCCCTACTTGACATCAAAGTTTAGTGTTAGTGCGGCCCGTGTATTTTTCTCAAACGCACCTGCGTGAGCCGTTGCCCTGGGCATTTTATATTTTTATCACTTGTGGGCTACCATAGCTCAGGCTCGTGACAGCAACGTGAATTAGCAACGATAGTCACTTGAAACGTGACTTGGGAGCGTCACTGAGTGGAAGGAAAATATATCCCGTCACCCAGTACAAATGCTTTCTTTTTTTTTTATATCTGTGTGAAAAGCTCTTCTCCTCCATGAACTTTATTAAGTCAAAGTACAGGTCCAAACTTACTGATGAGCACTTTCAAGCCATACTGAGGGTCTCAATTGCTTTCTCTCTCAAGCCAAATGTGGCTCAGCTGTGTAAGAGGAAGCACTGCCAGGTCTCTGGCAGTAAGGAGTGGGTCAGAGAAGCCCATGTTCTGAAGAATGTTCGTGTTCTGAATTGTTATTAATAAAGATTGGATCAGTTGTACTTTTTCTGGAATGCTTGAAAACCTTCTTTTTTAAAAACAAAAATACTTGAAACCCTTTCTTTTTTTGAATACTTGATGCAGCCCAGCCTCACTCCATCTCGAGCAGCCCCCAGGTAAGTTGAGTTTGAGACCCCTGGCTTACATCATTACAGAACAATGTTAATGAATGTGTTTTTATCATCAGTGTATAACATCTATAGGCTTTGGGAAACTTAAAATAATTTATATATCTATATGCTTTGATATGACTTCATGTATTGTCTCTATCTACATGTGTTATATATAAAATTAAGGCCAGAAATAAATTTTAAAGCAAAAATACTGTATTATTATAACATATTAGGGGTATTTGTACTTGATTTTTTATATACAGTATGCAATAGGGGACTCACTAAAGACAGACTTAAAGTAAAATGTGAAAAGATCAAAGTCAAGCTTTGCATTTTAACATGGAGGTCTAAGATTGGACTCACTGCAGATCTATACAATCCTAAGATATTTTAAAACCAAGTTGCATCATGTACATAAGAACTTCACAGATATTCTTTCCAATCTGAGACACGCACACAGATTATGATAACTGATAAAATTATTATTGTTTCTTTATTTATACAGGTAATCTCATTGGACACTGGGTTTCATTCTCAAGACAGTCCTGTTCGCAAATAACATTGGTGTTTTACACACTACAGGACATTATTGAGATTTTTGTGCCTGAGGAAGTCACCTCACTGGGAAGCCGCTGTAAACAAAATGGAGACTGTAGAGCCCCAACTTGCTGTAATAATAATTCTTTACAGTGAAAAAAAAAACTAAAGCAGAGAGCTGCACAGTCTGGATGAGCCTTGCCTTGCTTTAGAAGCCACCACAAGTGGTCGTTTAGTTTTTGTCACTTTCACATTAGCTTTATTTTTCACCGTCATGTTTGTAAAGCAGCTCAGAATGGACAAATCAAACACTGGCTCCAGAGGGAGGCAGTCGCAGTTTTACGATGACGGTCACTGTAGGTTCTCCATGTTTGGAAGAGAAGTGGTGACATTGAGTTGGTTGCAATCTGTAAACTCACCACTAGGTGCCGCTAAATCTGACACACGGACCTTTAAACAACTGAAAGAAAAACACTGTCCAGCAGTAACATCAATTTATTATAAACACTGTACATTGCAATCACTTTCCATCCACCCAATAAGGTTTGTTAGAAACAACAATGCTTTGAGGCTTTCTAATTCAAATCTTCACTATCCCTATAAACACTGATCAGGTCTTCACTGAGCTTAAAAAAACAGATTTTTCAACATACATCTTTGGACTAAACATTGTTTCTAATCTATTTTATTGACAAACAAGAGCTTCTGCAGTGTAAGAAAAACTTCTTTTTTGTTAATTCTAGAAAGCATATATTGATCTGGCAGCGACAGTGTTGGACAAACAGTTGTATTGAAAAAGTCTCATCAGTACACTGAGGTCACTTTTCACAGTGAAACAAATACTTGTAGTGCAAATCACCTCTCCTGCAGCGGAGAGCTGTGTGGAGACGGAGGACCGGACGAGAAGTCAAAGTCAATTGGAACGAATCTCTGGAAAACAAAAGGAAGATTTATTTTAACTTATTTATCTGAGCATATGTTCAGAGAATCTGGAAGTTCATGTTGAGATGGGTTTTTTTAAAGTTTTTTTTTTGGCCTTTCTGCCTTTATTGGATAGTGTAGTCAGAGAGAGACAGGAAAGTAGGGGAGAAGAATGGGGGGAGGACATGTGGGAAAGGGTCATGAGTGGGATTCGAACTCATGACCTCCACATTAGGACTGTAGCCCTGCACATGGGACACCAGCTCTACCAGGTGAGCTATAGCAGCGCCCCAGTGTTGTGATGTTTTAAAGTGTCCTGTGTACATCAATAATGGACGTCATTTTGGAGATATTTTGGTGCAAATAGTTCAAATCTTCCTCCTTTGCATTGTGGGAGGAAAAACAACACACTCAAAAGTTTCTGTGCTGATTTTCTCAGAGTATACGTCGCTTATAGAAAGTATTCTAACAACCCTTTAGTTGACTCTGGCATTAAGACTGTCTTTTTTAATCAGAAAATAGCCACATTCCATCTACTTTGATTCAGTGATGTTCAGCAATATTAAAGAATAATGAATAGTGTTCGGTGGTACTTGTGAAGACGCTTCTCGCTCAACACCTGTTTGGAGTTGGTATGTCATGTAGGATCGGTTGGGACCTGCATTATCTTTGTACTGAACAAACAGATCACACGATGCTTCCTTGAGCATCACCAGTGTTGCAGTGGACTAACCCAAATGACACTAACCATGACAAGAAGGAACCAGACAGAATTGACAACGTGCGATGGTCAGTGTATTTCCTTTAACTTCCCATCCCAAACTGCTGTGTCGACGGACACGGCAGGGGAAGTTATCGAGACAGATTTCACAAAGCAAACCTTATGCTGACCTAATTCTAACAAGGTCTGACATGGTGAACATCCATCTTATGTTTTGTGGTAGTTTGTTAACTTGTCAAGTAAAGGCTCTAAAGATATGAAAGTGTTTACTTCTACCAGTCATCCAGCAAGCCTTGCAGCTTGAGAATGTCCAAGCTTTACAAGTCAGTAGTACTGAGCTGCTGTGTACCAGCTGAGGAACCAACCATTTTTGTACAATCTTGCCTCCTTATTGCCTTCTGCTTCTAGGGAGTCACTTGGAAGGTATATCTACTTTCTAGAGCTGCTTTTGCAAACTCTAAAATGTCTCAGCTATAACAAAGCCCATCAACTGTTCTGTTATTGGCTGCAAGAGTGAACACAAGAGTCTTCATGCACTCTCAGCACCTGGGGAACTGAAGACTCAGTGGACTACTTTTATTTTTGGCTAACATTACGATTAGCTTTGATTGTATGACCATACGTCAGAGCTCTGTGAAAACTGTACAGCTGAGGAACATTCTGAGATGCTGGAAACTTAACACTGATTTGAAATAAACAAAGAAGGATGGGGTGGTTTTCTGTGTTTTCATGTTGTGCTTTGGTGCAACCTAAACTCAGCCAGTGTTTACATCTATTCTCACTAATCCTGTCATTTTATTACAGTTTGATTCCCAAAAAATCTGTTCTCATTTATATTTTTCTGTTTCTGTTGTCAGACAATGGAACGAGTATGAAAAGTGACAGAATGCAGCTCATTAAGACTACATGTTAACCAGCAGTCACGTCAGAGTCACTTCCAAGCTGCTGCGTTGCATCACTGATTTCATTACTATGACATTGTCTGACAAGCTTACCAAACATATGAGTTTAAAACAATGATTTTGCGGTGAATGTGGTGATATTTCCACGTAAAATGATTAATCAGAGAGAAAGTTAGAAGTGACTGATCTCCCATACACTGTATTGGTTGCTGTGTGGCCAATTTAAAACCAGGGGATACACAGTCAAGGTAAAATGAACCATCTTTAAACTGAAAGACGTACTTTGGGGACATGGGATTTTAAATAATTTGCTGAAAAGGGGCACAGTGTGGGATCTTAAACCCTAAAACCAACAGCAGGGATTTCAGGAAAAAAGTGCTACATATATCACTGTTAATACTCACAGTCGACTCTTCAAAGTGCAAGATGGAGGCCAGCGGGTTTCCACAGCGAGGCCGAGGAGACAGACACCCGGGATGAGCTGGGACAGACACTGAGGTGTAGGTGGCCACCTCCTCGTCCATACGTAGCTCCTCCAGCGGAGGAAGACGTTTACGCAGCATCGCCGCTATAGGACTCAGAGAACAGGTCTTCTGAACACCGAGGTCTGTAGCAGGAAAAAGTTACAATTTAAAAAAAAAAAATATCATAATCACTACAAGATTAATTATTAAAGGGAGTGTGAGATGTGAGTGGCACCTCTGTGCAGACGCTGAACACAAGGGTTGGTCTGACTGGTTGGTTCTGACTCAGTTGACGTGTCATTATGCACTGGCTGCAGCTTTCTCTGCTCAGATGAAAGTAAACCTTGGTGATCCTGCTGAGCTGAGATCTCCTGCTTCTTGAAATGTGGGGCTCTGATTAGCTTTTTGCCCGTTGAGAAAAAAATGACAGATTCCCTGTGTGGTGCTTGTAGGAACATCTGTCCTCCCTCAGACTTCTGCTCCTCCTCCTCCTCCTCCTCTTCATGACTGTTGGTCCTGCTTGTCTCTGGCTTTTCTTCATAGTAGGATTTAGTCTAGAGAAGTGGAAGAAGAAACAAAATGAAACCCAGTGATTTAAAAATAAATAAATCTAAACTTAACTCAGTATGGATCTCTGTTTGGCTGTTTCGGGTTTCAGTTCTTACAGGTGAGGCTTGAACTGGGAGCTGCTCTGCTTGTGTGTCAGAATCTTTGTCTGTCACATTCGCGCTTTGCTCATCTTCTTGGTCATCAAATAATCTCTGGACAACCTCCTGCTAAGAAACAAAAAATAGTACATGTATGTTTATTAAGTATGTTTATTTCTGGTAATATATATATATATGCGCCTTTTGTTCGGGAGTACATTTTGTCGTCATTATAAATCCATTACCCAAAATCTCTAGAATGTCAAATCCCACTTTTAAAATATTTTAGAATTTCAACAAAGGCATTAAATTTCAAGGGCGATTATCTGAGTTTGGAAATCCAAGGTGTGCCTACTAAAAAAGACAGTACCCTTTTTGCATTTTCAGATCATCAAGAATATCTGAACATTTACCTTTTCCCACCCAGAGTTGGTACAACCTTACAAACAGTTCAACATTACGTTACTTTGTTTTACACATCTTATTCAAAAATTTGAAATAAAAAATGCCAACAATTAACCATCAGCAGTCACCGGATTCTGTCAAAAAAAAAGAAAAAAAAAAGTTGCACTTCTAAGCACAACTGTTAAGCTATGACTGACTTGGCTGCAACTAATGCTTATGCAACAAAAATTCAGGGACTTTTCGGCTGAACTGCAGGCTGTGTTTTCATATACCCAACAGAAACAATTTAAAAAAACGCATGAGGTAAAATATCTGGGGTATGTAGAGTCACCATTTCATTTTACCCAGTAGTGGGAACACCGGTAGGCACTTGGAAAAATGCTGTAGAAGTTGATTTTAGAATTTAAAGAAATCCACCTTTTTCTTTTGTAATGATTTATGGCATTATAACTGTGTCATACTGCAGAGAATACATTTTTGAATTCTCTCTACTTCTACTCATGGTTGTGCTGTTTCCATAGAAGTGCATGACTTCCCACTGGGGTGGAAATGAGGCCACAGTGAGTAAAAATGTGACAGCAGCAAAAAATGTCCAGAAACAGCCTGTGGTTTTACAGGCTTCAAATGTTGCTGTTTGCTTATAAAGCTCCCTTTAACATTTAGTTTACCTGAAAGAGTCAACAGTTTTAGCTTTAAACTGTGCTTGAATTTTATACATACATCTCTTTCGTTTCCCTTTTTTGTTTTCCTAATAAATATAATGTAATACAATAAAGAATATAATACATTTCTGTAAAGCACATTGGACACACTATAAATTTGACATGATTTTCTCCTCTCACCTCGTGGTGCGGCTGAAGGTTGTTTTTGCAGCTCCTGAGTCCGGGAGTGCCGTACGGTGACTGTTGAGTCGACAGATGCCATTTCTGAAAGCAGCAGCATCGTGAGATAAGGCAGCGACTGGACGACATACAGTGTGCCAAACGGACAGAGTGTGAACATACAACACGTGTATACCGACCGTGGCAGACATGACGGGCTGGTGTTTGGTGTCGCGGACCCTCTGTGGAGTCCATTTCTTCAGCGGAGTCTCTTTGAGTGGTACCGCTGAGGAGGAAACAGTCATGTCACGTCAGGGTAAAAGGACGGAGAGATAAGGATGCATTAGGTTTTAGAAGATAACAAGAACAACGATGCTGAATCTTACCTACTGGTCCGCCAGTCGCCTCTGCACGAGCTTTTCTAACCGGCACTCTCTGAGCCTGGGGAAGGAAGCAGCACATTAAAACAAACTGTTTGCAGGCTTGCTCCATTGCTTTGCAAATTGCACCAAAAATACAAGAAGTAGGAGGTGGCGTAGAAGTGAAAATACATTTAACGTGCTCATACCGTGTAGATTGAAGTGCCTCTGCCTGGTGGACATTCTGAGTTTCGGGGTGTGGCACCGACAAGCCCTCCAGCTTTCACCCCTTCGTTCTGGAGGATACTTTGCAGTGCAGCGGCGTCCGGGGAGAACAAGGGGTTAACTGTAGCGGGTCCAGCTTTTTGTCGACTTTTCATGACGGACACTCGCTGAGGCTGCGGATCAAAACGACTATTAGACACAATCGCAAAGTGCATAACATTAATTTAACACTAACACAAAAATAACCAGTTGAACGCTAACTGGTGCCCTCTGAACCCAAAAAAGGCACAAAACAGCAAATGGAAATGGTTTAAGAGCATTGTAGTAAGTAAAAAATAAGAAACAAAAAAGGAAGAAGGTTATAGGTGCAGAAGGGAAAACAAAGTGAATGTGCTCATACGGTGTAGATTGAGGTGCCTCTGCCTGGTGGACAGACTGAACCTCGAGGGGTGGCGCCTACAGGCCCTGCAGCTTTCACTCCTTCGTTCTGGAGGATGCTTTGCAGTGCAGCGAGGTCCGGGGCGAACTGCACCGACTTCACTGACGCTGTGAGAAGAGAACAGAGAGCCCACATTAAGTTGACATGAAAAGGGCCAAATTAATTTACATTGCATTTTTTGTTGTCCACCTTTATTCATAACAACGTAACACTGACTGCTGTTGTGTTTTACTAAAATTAAGTTGTTTGTTTACCCCCAAATACATATAATTATAAAACTAATATTTGGGGGTTTTTTTGACTCCAAAAGACTAAGTAAGGTATTGCTTTTCCAGCCTCAAGACGAGGTTGAGAAATCATGAAGTGGGGAAGCAAGCTCTGTTCAAAGGCGGCAACATCAGCCTGATGGAATCCAAAGTCCATTCATTGATACGTCGTTTCATCAAAAGCCAAAGAGTAAAAACAAACACGGTTGTACGGGGGTCACTGGTTGAACAGCCAGGAAGTTTGCTGGACTAGTTAAAATGTAACAAAACACCATTTCCCAAATTTGTGGCTAATTTGACCCCCACAAAAAAATGAACTACTTCTACTGTGATCACATGTTGTATAAAAGCACACATTGCGTTTTCTTATGCTGACCTGTCAAGGGTCCAGTTTTTTGTTGAGTCTTCATGACGGACACCCGCTGAGGCTGTGAACGAGACGATTGTGGCACAAATTCACAAAATATATAACTTTTAAAACACTCTAAACCAATTGCAACCTATCAAGTAGAGGAATTAAAAGATACTTTGAAGGCGGCACTATGAGATGAGTATCGTAAATCCTGCTCACCAGATAGTTATATGGTTTAGAGTGTGGTGTTGCAGATGCCAGTGATGCGACACTGACTCCCTCATTCCGGAGGACACTGAGTAAAGCTGCATGGTCGGGCTGAAATTTCTCCCCTTTGTTTGAAATAGGTAAAAAACAATCAAGTCGAGAAACAGAAGACAAAATAAGTGTGTGTATAATCAATGATAAGCTACAACTGTGGTAAGACTCGTCCATCAGCATTGATAATTATGATAGCATCAAGATCAGATGCAGACAAGTTACTGCAGGTTAAAAAAAAAACTGAACAGAACCTGCATGTATCTGACAAAGTGAAGATGATCACGTGCAAAGGGGAAGCTCAAAAGTAATGTAGCGACAACACACTTACCACTGAAACCCTCTGAAAGATCGTCCTGTGCGGTCAGTTTCGTGGTCTGGCTGACTGTCTTGGATGAATCTTTGAGACTGAGCAGGTTCATGTTATTCAAACAGACTTCTGCACTTAGAGCAGGCTGCACAGAAGAAGCAGCCATATTTTGATGCATCGTGTTGTCAGGTTTGGATAAAGTGGCTGAAGTCTTAAAAGTTTTGAAAGGATCAGTCTGTCCTAACAGGTGGGCTGAACCTTCTGTAGTCTTTTCATGAGGGTTCCCTTCCCCACCTTTGATGAAGTCCCCATTGCGATTTAATGAAGATTGATGTTTAGTAGGTTTTGCATTGCATACGTTGTTTTTAGGTGGGACAGGGCGAGCAACAGTCTTTGATTTTGAAACAGTTTGTTGATTTTCGGTTGCTATTCTAGTGTTTTTAGGCTGGGACAGGTTGAATGGTACCGGCCGGGTGCATGGCTTTTTCTTCTTAGTTTTCCCCTGCAGGAAAATGATAAAGAATTAAGAACGCAAGAAAAATGCAATAATATAAAAACTGTTAAAAAACAGTCTACAGGATGGGAGGAAGGCACTTACAGCCAGAGGTTTCTCCTCCCATCTGCTGTGGGACTGGCTGAAGTCGTTGGGAGTCTGAAGAGGAAGGGACTTTGCAAGCACTGGAAGTCTGCTCACACCTGGTCGCACAGGTGCCTTCTTACTGATTTCTGAGTTTCCAGGAGGTTTGTTCTCACTGTCTTTGTTTGAGAGGTGAGATACAGACATGGGTTTGGAAGACTTTGGGTCTGCTTGCCTTTTGTTGTGTTCATTCTTCATTCTGTAGAGAAAAACAATCAGTTTAAAGATAATACATTCAAATAAGAATTAGATATTCAATGTTGATTCCTACTGGTCAATTGATTTTTTTTTTTTTTTTAAAGTCAGCAACTGCGTGAGGGGTAGATTCTGACCGATCAGAACCACCACCTAATTGATTTTATCTCACAAGGAACTGGTGTTATTCATGCATTTTACAGCTCGCAGCTGAACTATTTTAACGCCCTGTATATGGGGTTGACATATTTAAATGATACGTAACCACAGTTCGTTCAAATGCAGCTGCCAGGCTACTTTTACTGTCTTCCTATTATAATTCTACCTCTTTCAAATCTAGCCATAGCTTTACCTCAGCTACCCGTTTCTTGTCATAAACGTTGTGTGTGTGTGTGTGTGTGTGTATATATATATATATATTTATATATATATATATATAAACATATATATATAAACCCACACATACATATACTGCCTGTTATTAACTCTGTGTCTCCTCCTTTTTCTCCAGTTTGTGCTTTGTTGTCTCCTTTACTGTACCTTAGCTGCATGTATTTCTGGCTCTGGAGCTGTACAGGTCTGATCTGCAGTGTACTTGTGTCGCCAGTTAGTCCAGCGTTTATGTTGTCTGTTTATCTTTGCTACCCTTTTCTCTCTTTTCTTTACAGGATGGATGCTCTCCCTGAACCTGGTTCTCCAGGAAGTTCTACTTCTCCACCGTCAATGTTTCTCTTAACGTTTCTCTTTAAACAAAGGTTTTGGAGCTTTAGATGCTGTCCAAACAAAGGCAGCTGTCAGAAAACTTGTTAATAAACTGCAGTCTACAAATGTGGTTGAAACTTTATAAAATGGCTTACCTCTGAAAGTCACTGTGGATTTTGTTCTGACTTTGCTGACGAAGGACTGAAGAGGAGTCCATATTGATGACAGGAGGGTGAAGCCAGAGGTGAAGGTGTGAATAACAACTGGATACGCAAGAAATGAAAACAACAACAACAACAACAACAAAAAACAAATGAAAAGTTGAGCAACCAAGCATGAAACACTATACTGGCTTAAAGCAAAGTGAATGTGAAGATGGAGAAAATGCATAAAGCATGCAACGACATAAACAAACTCAGAAAGGCTTCAACAACTGCTGCAAAGTTAAAGACATAGAAAGCTTCATGCAGTGAAATACCTGCACTTCATACACAGAGAACGACAAAACAAATCAGGCGATAAAAAACTACATTACTTTGGCTGACAAGTAGAGACAGTAGTTAAATATTCGCAGAGCACAACCAAGGTGACGATTATCAAACGTTAGCAACACAAGTTAGCTTAAACCGAAGCAGAAGGCTAGCAGCTACATTTAAAGTCTTTCCCCGTTAGCACACGGACAAAACGGACAAAAAGCAGCTCAACATACTTCACAAACTTTAAAAACGCCAACAAGCCTGCGTTACTTCCTCCTGGCGACCTAATTTAGTATTTCCCATACAATTAATCGGAAATGTTTTGGTCTTACAGGCGTTTTGTGGCGATTTAAAGATCCCTTGTTCGGTCCTTTCACACCACAGACGGCTGTCAACTTCCTGGACTCGCAAGTTTGTAAAAAGCGCGCTTCGCCATTGGTCGCAATGCGAAGCCGTATCAACCAATCACTGCGCGCAGTTTGGTTACGACAATGCTGTCGACCAATGAGCGACGGGTTTTAATAAACAGCTCCATGGCAACGACGCGAAAGTTGTTTTACCACGTGACGGCTTTTTGCCGCGACTTGAGGAGTTCAGGGGAACTTTTCTGTTTCTAATGTGAGAAATCAGAGTTGACCGTTTACATAATCTTAAATAAGTAATCAGTGAATATAATTACTAACCTGGGGCATGAACCAGAAATAACAGAATAACAACAGCGATATAACAATAAGAATAATGATGATAATAATACTGATAATAATGATAATAATACTGATAATAATGCTAAGAAATGATAATGTGTAAACAAAACACATTCCCATAAAGGGAAACTTTGAGTACAGTCTTTCACAGTCTTCGATCTATAATTGGGGGAACCTGTTGGGAAAACAAACAATCTCTATGATAACAGCAATTTAAATCTCATATAGCTCCAACTAAGATGAAGTGGATCCAAAACACTGCTCATTGCAACAAGTAGTTTCAGGCAGCTGATTTGATCTGAGTTGTTATTATTATTTTTTGTTGTTGTTTATTTTTGGTAATGTGTTAGGGGTCTTAACTGGGTAAACATTTCTTCTCACCAGCATCTGTATTTCTTTTCCTAGACTATTTATAGGGTTGGACACCCAAATTACTATTAATTAAAATTAAAATAAGCATTAACAGCCTAGAGAATATATCCATCTCACTCAGGCTGGTAGCTAAAAATAGTTTATTTTACTTTTTACTTACCGTATTTGAATGCTGAATGACATGGCTCCACAACATTACATATGGTTGTTGATCCAGAAGTCAGGACCAAGGCTAACAGGTACTGTGCCCAGTTGTTTATACACAGTGCAACAAAATGTTTTTTTTTCTTTACACAATACCTAAGACTTAAACAGCATTGTTGGCGTATAACTGTTGCCTAATGTTAGCTAAATAACATGTAGGCTATATAAGACGGCACACATAACATAACGTTACTCTGGGATACAAGCAAACTGGAGCTAGCTTGAAGCTAACTGCTAATTACTGACAGGTAACGTGTACTAAACTGCTAAACCTACACTCATAGCTAGCTAGCAGCTAGCTAGTTGTCAAATGAGAAACAACACTTATAAAAGAACCTGGCGTTTGGTTACGTTACCTGAAAGTAAGACACCTAAGCATTATATTTTGTAGAGAGTTAAAAGTTCAAGTAATATTAGTGAGATATCTAATTAGCAACACTTCGCTAACACCTGGAGCCAACAGTTGCACAGGTGCCTGGAGGACAATATTTGAGTATTAAGTTTCACTTTTGTTTGACAGCTGTATTAATTTTGCAAATTAAGGTTTAATTGACAAAACACATGGTATATTTTTAAAACACAATTGCCTATGGTAAAGTAGTACCTGAAAATATTCATAAAAGTCAATTTAACCTCCTTGTTAAACAGCTGTAACATTAAAATGCTGATTGCACCTCAATACAACAGTGATAAGAATTTAGTAGTACAGTTAGGTAATACAACTACAAATAATTATTAGTCTAAGAAACCACATGATGCTCTGAACTGATCCAGTCTAGTCCAACAATGTAATGCAGTCCTTAAAAATGTCAGTTTCACCAACTCCTTCTGAAAAATCAGGACAACAGTCCTCAGATTCACATTAACTCTGTTCATCACGAACTTGTTACTCCATACTGACCTGTGACCTCTGCTCTGTGACCTTACTCTCCATCTGCTTGCTATCATTTCCAGTATAGTGTGTTTCCATGGCATCCATTCTGTTGTACAGAATTGTACAGCTGGAGTCTATCCCAGCTGACTTAAGGTGAAGGCAGGAGACACCCTGGACAGTTCACCAGTCTATCACAGGGCTACACTTAGAGACAGACACATTCACACCTATGGACAATTTAGAATCACCAATTAACCTCAACATGTTTTTGGACTGTGTGGGAGAAAGCCTGAAAACCTGGAGAGAACCCACGCTGCACGGGGAGAACATGGAGACTCCACGCAGAAAGATCCCGGGTGTCCTCACTGGGACGGGAACTGGTGACCTTCTTGCTGCTAACCACCGAGCCACCTTGCAGCCCAGTGATAATAATTCAGTAACCAAATTATATGAAATTTTACAGAATAGCAGACATAAAATAATACAAATAACATTGTTGTCAGAGTTCAGTTCAGAAAGGAAGGCAATGTGGGACACAGAGTTGCTTTAGGACTACAAAGACCAGACAGGCAGACAGAACAGATGGAGCAGGCTGAGGTTCAAATACAAGGCATGAGCTAGAAAAAGTAAAACGCTGGGGAACAATGGAACAGTTTACACTTTACAATAATCTGTCAAATGAATGATAAAGAGATGCATATAAATCTAAAGGACTGATTGGCAGAGTAAAAACAGGTGAGCTGACTGGGATCAGGTGAGGTGGATGAGAAACACAGAGATCCTCTGATGAGTGGCTGGAGTAATACAGGGATGAAAACTCTCAAAAACCATCATAGTAGCAACAGAAAATTATTTAATGTTTAATCAATGCAGGAGAGATTCTGAATACGAACATTTAGAGAATGCCAAGGACTTGTCATTTAGAAGTTGATTATTATGTTCTTCTACAGGTACTTTTTCTGTTGTTTTCTTAAAGATCCGAGTGCTTGTACCACTGGAAGGCAGCCTGAGAACATGCAGTAAACAATCAGACCCTCCCTCTGTGTCTCTGGTTGACCAGCAGGTGTCGCTGTTAGAAGACTGGTAAAGCTTCATGTCTGGCTGACAGCAGCAGCACAGCGTGGGTGTCTGCCTGTCACCCAGGGGCCCGTGTCAACAGCAGAGGGAAGAAGAAGAGACGTGGAGGAGGAAACCAGAAAATAACGCCGCTGCAGACATGGACCTACGGTCTGAGCTGCTCAAGTCCATCTGGTACGGTTTCACGGCCCTGGATCTGGAGAAAAGTGGGAAAGTGTCCAAGTCTCAGCTGAAGGTGAGTGAAGGCTCCTCCACCTGCGAGATGGGACTAGAGGAAACTTTTTCTTTTTGTCTCTGATGATTGGCTCCCTTTGATTGTGCTCCTTCATTTACTACCTCAGTTCATATTTTATCTTGTGGGCTCACTGAAGACAGTTAATGAATATGTTCAGTGAACTAAAATGTCACAAATGCTGTGTCGTTTAGTCAGCGTAGATTTAGATTCTGTGCTTCAGGAAATAAGGTTAAGTGTACTCAGCCTGCTATTACTTATCATCATCGTCAATATTTCCTGTGTGAAGCTCTTTTTTCAGTCACATCGCGTTCAACAAGGAACAAATGTGTTCCCCATATTTCGAGTAAAATACTTTCACTGCTGTAAGAGGGCACAATATGCACCTCTGTCTGGCAAGAGCACGAGAGTAACAGTTTGCTCTCAGTCTGTATATGAATGGGAGCCCTCATCGCCAAGCTGTGCTCACACTGGGCCTCGATGTACCAGCTTGTAGTGCAAAGGGACCTCTGGCACTGGAGAACAGCCTGTTGAATAGAGTATGTTCACAACATGAGCCCGTGCACGTCAAAGGAACATTGTCACAGTGAGAGCGAGGACAAAGTGGAAACATGTTGGTGATCGTTGTCTCTTGCCACAAGGCTTCAACGGATCCACTGTATTTTTGTTGATCTCATTGTTATGTCACTTGGTGTGGCTCAAACTCCATTTCCAGCAGCCTCCCACGTTCCTGCGCTGTGCTGACCGGTGCTCCTGGCTCGCAGAGAGGCAGCCTCATGACTGGGCTTATCCCCCTCATGCATGCAAGCCGTGTACAGGCACCATTTTTTTTAGATATACTCGAGGCGAGCAGTTTGCATGCAGTGGCCTCAAAACTGACAGATGTTGTAGAGCGCTGGAGACAGGAGACAGGATGTGGTTATGGCTCAACACACAGAGACTGGTTGTCTGATAACACGCGTCAGATATCTCAAGATGTTGCACAGTGAAGAAATAAAAGGAGGAGGAAAGGTGTTTATTTAATTAAAAAGCCTTTTGACAAGTAGTAATACCACTAATGCTGTATGATAAGACATAGTAATTTATATCACTTATAGTTTTTTGTGCAATCAGATGTCATTTAAATATACTTGCCTTTAATACTTTTAATTATGTTTATCATTGTATTAACTTTTATACTATTTTGCTGTTTCTCTGTGAACTACTTGCACTGTTTAAATAAAGTTTGATGGACTTTTTAAACACATTTCTCGTACTTAAAACAGTGGTAACGTCTTGCTGACTTTGACCTCATTATATTGCCAAACATATGTGCAAACAGAATTATTTTTAGAAAGATCCAATGCAGCAGAAATGTAAAACTTTAGTTCCCTAAAGATGTTAATCAACTTTTTTTTATTTCAGTTTGTTGGCCTTCATTTTCTGAGAGAATAGCACAGAACCTTTAACTCAACTTAAATACAACAGCATGTAATTTAGCAGAAATCCTGCCAAGAAAGCTTTCCTTAAATGTTTAGCATATGGATTTAGCTCTGCATCTTTCTGTTCCAGTGTTTTTCCATCTTTTTAAATACATCTCTCCTGTGCATTGCAATTTTTCAGGTATTGTCTCACAACCTGTGCACGGTTTTGTGTATCCCACATGACCCGGTCGCTTTGGAGGAGCACTTCAGGGATGACGACGATGGCCCAGTTTCCAGTCAGGGTTACATGCCTTACCTCAACAAATATATCCTGGATAAGGTGATAACAGCACGACTACACGCTCTTTTTGTTGTTTGAAGTGTAATGCAGGATTCTGTTCGATATTTCAACCCCTGTATTTCTGTTGGTGTAGGTCGTGGAAGGTTCTTTTACAAAGGAAAACGTAGACGAACTCTGTTGGACTCTTACGGCAAAGAAAAACTACCAGCCAGACAGAAGCAGCAGCACCATTCTGCCAGAGAGGGACG